TAACCCAAACATTAGGGTGAACCATGATACATCTTGTGTTATTTACTTTCTTGCAAATTCACGGTCGAATTTATGTTGTTCCAAGACCCCTCCGGTTTTGTGCATCAACATTTGGTCATTGAAGAGAAAGCCTGATGAAAGTTAACAACTTAACAGTGTTTGAATAGTTGTACGTGTGTTCAAATCTTAAGGGCGGTACAAATCTGGTACACGGTATTGGGTACAGGGTATTTGAATCCCATCCATCTCGCCACCTAATCATTCATCGCTTTCGTGAAGCCGCCAACACAACTAAAATCTCTCTTCGTCTTCTCGTAGAGGCAGCAGCCATGGCGTCGCTCACCTTGGTGATCTCCAGTAATCCTCCCCAACATATTGGCTCACGACGCCAAGCCGAGGAAGATCTGCTACTCTCAATGTTCTACATTCTTTCTCCCTCCTTACCATTCTCCCATTTGCAGTCCTTTTTATCGTTCTTCACAGATTACACGATATCGAAGCATGCGGTGTTGGGGTTGATGAGGTCGGCGAGTCTGCAGTTGGGTGCGTACAGGATACGCGTCAACTGTGTCACACCGGGACTGGTGGTGACACCGTTACTATGCTCACTTTTCAAGGTGGAGGCTGAGGATGTTGCGAAAATGTTCAAGTCGCACTTTGGGTTGTATGGGATGAATAGGCAGCCGCAGGAGCCGACAAAACAAGAAGTTACCACCGCCGATTTGATTAAGTTCGAATCCAGAGAATCCAACAACAAATCTACCAAGTCGGTGAAAAAAAAGATGAAGATGTCATGTTTGCTCTTTCTTTCTACAAAGATCCTGAGGAGGCCAAGGAAAAGGAAAAGATGCTTTTACAAATGGTATCGTCTTGCTTTTACAAACGAGAAGTGGATGAGCTGGCTGCTTTCCAAAGTGGAAAGGAACAACGTCATCAAGTGGAAGCTAGATCTCTGGCAAGTTGGTACAGTCCGACAATAAGATTCCACGACAAACTGTAAAGAAGATATTAATGCTTAATTGGTGCACCATGCATGACAATAGCGCAAAGACAGAGACAGGGAGAGAGGTGCAGTGGAAAGAGAAAAGAAAAAGGAAAACTCTCCAGTACTCAGGCGCAATGCGCACCAACCATCTGCAACTGTCGACCACCCACATGGAAAAAGATAAGCACTTTATCTTTGGGCTGATTTGTTTAAAATTATCATTGTTTATTTAATATCTTATTATTTTTGTCATGATGACTAATTATAAAATAATAATTTTATTATTTTTATGTCATGATGACTTATGATTAAATAATATTATTTCTGATATCACATGATTCTACCACGTTATTGATTTTTATAACATGTGATTTATCAAACAACTGAATAAATCATTTGTTCATGATTATATATATATACACACACATTTAGGCAATACCTAATATATTGTTGATTTATGCAGCATGTCATTTATCAAACAATTGAATAAATCATTTATTCATGATTATATATATATACACACACATTTAGGCAATACCTAATATATTGTTGATTTATGTAGCATATCATTTATCAAACAACTGAATATATCATTTATTCATAATTATATATATATACCCACGCATTTAGGCAATACCTAATATATTGTCGATTTATGCAACATGTCAGTTATCACACAACAGAATAAATCATTTATTCACAGAAGGCACATAATACAATATTGCCTTGACAAACTTTGTCAATTTGATTTATTCATTATACGGTCGTACTTATCCTGTCATTTATTGTCAGTAATTATTAAGCAACTAGATCCACTGATCAACATTGTTGCTGATTAAAGAAGTCTACCAACTTATAGACTGATGAGCCATGTGCTTATGGTGATCTCTTGTCTGACCGGACACCCACTTGCTTATCATTAACCAGGTGATCAAAAGTACGTCCAATACTCCAAAATTATTCAGCAGTCTGCCGCTATTATCACCAACTAGGTGATCAAAAGTACGTCCAGTACTCCAAAATTATTCAGCAGCCTGGCGCTATGATCACCAACTAGGTGATCAAAAGTACGTCCAATACTCCAAAATTATTCAGCAGCATGCCGCTATTATCACCAACTATGTGATCAAAAGTACGTCCAGTACTCCAAAATTATTCAGCAGCCTGGCGCTATGATCACCAACTAGGTGATCAAAAGTACGTCCAGTACTCCAAAATTATTCAGCAAGCCTGCCGCTATTATCACCACTAGGTGATCAAAAGTACGTCCAGTACTCCAAAATTATTCAGCAAGCCTGCCGCTATTATCACCAACTAGGTAATCAAAAGAACGTCCAGAGTTCCAAAATTATTTAGCAGCATGCCGCTATTATCACCAACTAGGTGATCAAAAGTACGTCCAGTACTCCAAAATTATTCAGCAGCCTGCCATTATTATCACCAACCAGGTGATCAAAAGTACGTCCAGTACTCCAAAATTATTCGACAGCCTGCCGCTATTATCACCAACTAGGTGATCAAAAGTACGTCCAGTACTCCAAAATTATTCGGCAGCCTGCCGCTATTATCACCAACTAGGTGATCAAAAGTACGTCCAGTACTCCAAAATTATACATGAGCATCATTCATGTCAATCAACATAAACATTCATGAGCATCACTCAAGTTAATCAGCTTCGAAAGCTTCATTTACAAAGCTCCAGCTTCAAACGCTTCATTTACAGAGCTCTAGCTTCGAAAGCTTCATTTACGTAGCTCCAGCTTCGAAAGCTTCATTTGCATAGCTTCAGCTTCGAAAGCTTCATTTATAGAACTCCAGCTTCGAAAGCTTCATTTATAGAGTTACAGCTTCGAAAGCTTCATTTACAAGAGCTCCAGCTTCGAAAGCTTCATTTACAAAGCTCCGACTTCAAAAGCTTCATTTACAAAAGCTCCAGCTTCAAAGCTTCACTTTCAAAGCCTCACCTATAAAACTTCACTTTCAAAGCTTCACCTACAAAGCTTCAGTGCATGATATACAAAGACCGCCTCCGAACAACCGCCACTTCGGCCCATACATGGATTGAATTTGAAGTCTCCAGCCAACATACCCTATTAACTGAAGACTTGGAGGACTACACTATGTACCATATATTGGGCTTCTGCAATTGGGCCTCATGAAAAATACTTGAGGGACGTAGCCCATTATTTATGTACTGAGGAGCGAACCCTTATTCTATAAAAGGGACTCCTTCACCTTCATTAGAGAGCATCGCCGCCAGGTGAGCAACTGTCTCGCCGCGAACATCACTCCTAACCCATCACTTATGTATTGAGGAATGAGCCATTATTCTATAAGGGACTCCCTCACCATCATTAGAGAGCATCGCCACCTGCTGAGCAACCGCCTCGCCGCGAGTATCAACTCTAACCCATCATTTATGTATTGAAGAGCGAACCTTTATTTTATAAAAGGGACTCTTTCACCTTCATTAGAGAGAGACTTTTAGCCCATCACTTATGTATTGAAAAGCGAACCCTTATTCTATAAAAGGGACTCCCTCACCTTCATTAGAGAGCATCGCCGCCTGCTGAGCAATCGCATCGCCGCGAGCATCAACTCTAGCCCATCATTTATGTATTAAAGAGCGAACCCTTATTTTATAAAAGGGACTCCCTCACCTTTATTAGAGAGAGACTCTTAGCCCATCACTTATGTATTGAGGAGCGAACCCTTATTCTATAAAAGGGACTCCCTCATCTTCATTAGAGAGCATCACTGCATGCTGAGCAACCGCCTCGCCGCGAGCATCAACTCTAGCCTATCATTTATGTATTGAGGAGTGATCCTTTATTCTATAAAAGGGACTCCCTCACCTTCAACGCCACAAGCCGAGCGAACCAAGGCAACATAAGCCATAAGCCGAACAGCCTCGCAACATGTGCTACTTCTAGTTGAGCATCATTTCACATTGAGCACCGCCTCATATCGAGTATTTAGTTCTAGACGACATCTAGTTACTTCAGCCTACACAGGGACTGAATTTCAAGTCTCAATCCAAAAGACTACTTGGGGGACTACTGTTGGTACCATATTATATTGGGCCTCGTTACTTGGGCTTCCAGACATTGAGCCCATGATTTATGTAAAAGGGAAGGAGCCCTTAGTTTATAAAAGGGACTCCTCATCCTCACAATCCTAAGGCCTCACATCCCCAAATGGAGGCTCTCATATTCAAAGCAACCTTCTCACAAATAGGAAAACTCTCTCAAACTCTCTCTTTCTCTGGGGGACTCCCCCTCACACTTGTAATCCATACATTCATACAGATAAATACAATCAACATAAGTGTGGACGTAGCCCAAACATTGGGGTGAACCACGATACATCTTGTGTTCTTTACTTTCTTGCAGATTCACGGTCGAATTTATGTTGTTCCAAGACCACTTCGGTTTTGTGCATCAACAAATGTTACGAATGGCTAAATGAGTGAGCGTAGGGCTTGGCCTATATTGACCTATTAGTGCCTTTACCCCTGTGAACGTAAAATAAGACAAAGGCGAAGGGAACGTAATTTGATGTGGTAACCCTCACTACAGGGAACGTTTCTAGAGAATCTGTTTACTGGGGTTTTCGACAATAAGGATACAATAACATTAGTGATACCAGCAGCTGGCCGACCCTTGCCAGAGTCTATAACAGCCCGTGCTAATGACTTGCTGAGTTGCATTGTTTATCAAGAAAATGAGGAAGGTGATTCGTTTGAGATAAGGCATCACATGTTGGATTTTGCCAACTTTGCATGTGTTATCTCATGATGATCCTAACAAGCATATCACTAAATTTTTTATGGGATGCAAGAACATCTTGGTTAAGAGATTTTTAGCCGAATTTATCAAACTTATTTTTTCCTTACACTCTAAAGGAAAAGGCGAAGGCATGGCTCTTCACACTTCTATCTAGCAGCATTACTTCCTGGGAGCTGTTGAATGAAAAATTCCTAAGGGAGTTCTATCCGGCCTCCAAGACTCTTTCCATGAGGAGGGAAATTTTGTCTTTTCTCAAAAACCACATGAAGAGTTCCATGAGGCATGAGAGTGGTACAAGGAGTTATTCACAAAGTGTCCCCATAATGGCATTGATGGAGATACACATACAAAACTGTTCTTTGACGGTCTAAATCAAACTAGGAAAACTAATGAAAATGGCCTGAAAACTTTGAGTTTTAATGATAAGGACAAAATAAAGGGTAAGTGAATAGTACCAGGTTTGACTTTTTAGTGTAAAAATATGATTTTTTGTTAAAGTGAACAATATCATAGATTTTTCGTTAAAACTCTCAATCAAACTAGCAGAAGTTATTAATGCATCATTTGGAGGCGCGTTGATGTTTAAAAATGTCAAAGAAGTGTTTGAGTTATTTGGGAACATTGAATCACAACAATGGACATCTGAACTAACACAAAAATGAGCATTTTTTTAATTATATCACCTAACGGCTTGATATTTGTTGAGAAAATAAAAAAATTGGAAAAAAAAAAGCCAAGGGGCCAAATAAATTAAGCAGACTAGGTAGTTCACTAATTCCTTCATTGACCGCTACCACACATCGCCCGCATTTTCTAGTGTCGGTTCAGTTGGAGTGTTTGTTTGAGTCCACAAAAAACAATAAAAGATTCTTTCATTTGACGGCTACCACATATCGCCCGCATTTTCTAGTGTCAGTTGGAGTGTTTGTTTGAGACCACAAAAAAAAAAAAAAAAAAAAAATTCTTATTTTATAGTCAAATTTTCTTAAAATTTCTACAAGGACCTCATAACGTGTCATACTTGGAAATTTCCAAAATTAAAAACAAAAACACGTAATATGTTAAATTTCGCATCACCCATTACTGTCTACGAGACGAATGCCATATTAATTCAAATTTGAGATACGATGGTTGATAACGAAATTTTTATCATTATATTAAGGTAACATTTCAAAGAAAGATGCGTGCATCTAATCACTTGAACTTACATAATGGTGTTGCCCCAATAAGAAGTACGTCCACTGACGTATTTGGATTCTATCCGAATTCAAATTATGGATAAATTTTTAATTGTGATTGGAATATGGATAGTACATCACGTGTTTTTATGTAAGTGGTGGAAAATTTTAATTTTTAAGTTATTAATCTTTTAACACACATAACCCACCATTTATATAAAGACACATGATGTATCACTGAAAAATCTCTCCAAATTGTGGAGAATCCTCACATTCTAATCGTTTATCGTACACAGTTTGACTAGAAATCATTTTGAATTTTTTATTTAAAATTAAACACAAATAGCACCTAACGAAAACTGACAGCATGATGTATGATGAATGGTCATGACATAAGGATATTATGTGTGGATATTATAATACCCACGTTGCATTCAAATAATTGTAATATCTTAAATCATAAGAGTTAAATCCCCTTCAACCACGTTGCATTCAATCTTTTTACTTAATAATCTCTTTACTTATTTAATAGGAGTGTGATATCCACACACTTCTTTTTACTTCTCCCACATTTTTTTGGTTTTCGACCATCGGATCGGATGAATTGAAGAAGATTAACGGACATAAATTAACAAGAGATGTGTGAGAAGTAAAAAATAGTGTGTGAATAATACATCTCATTTAATATACCTCGACCATATATATATATATTTTTTTTTTTTTGCGTGGATATTATGCGTATATAACAGATGTATCGTTTGTAAGCTTCTTATGGTATAAGTTCAATTTAAAAAATAGCTTGGTTTTTTGAACCTGGATCTAACTGCCCTTTATTAATTCAACAATTGCGTGGTTTTTTTTCTATACATGGAAAGTGATTGAAGTGAATTAGAATAATAGTAATGGCACATCTTTTGTATTTTCGTAAGGGGCCCTTTTTCTCCTCTACGCACTTTTTACTTAAAGGAAAACTAATGAAAAAAGCTTGAAAACTTTGATTTTTAATGATAATAACAAAATAAAGGGTAAAGTGAATAGTATCAATTTTGACTTTTTAGTGTAAAAATATGGTTTTTCGTTAAAATGAATAGTACCGTGGGCTTTTCGTTAAAACTCCCTTTATTTAATTATATTTGTTGTTTTATTTGATTTCTTTAGTTCGACGATCGAAAAATAAAGAAATGTGAAAGATTTAAAAGGTGTGTGAAAATCAACTTCCTTTCGCTGTAAGCATGCTGTTAGGGTTGTTTCATAACGACTTTTCATTATTGAAAATTTGACACCACTTTATTTAATTTATTACATTGCTTGTTCTCCTCATCAAGTGAAGAACACAGACGTAAGACAGTAGAAACATAGAAAAGATGTCTCCGGAAGGGGTAGATAACCGTGATTTCCCACTAGTTGTCCATCTTAAAAAAAAAAAAAAAGGGAGGGAAACACAAAAAAGATAGCTAGTCCACGACATATACGTATGACAAGTAGGAAAATATATAGACACTACAGACACATAAAACATGATCAATTCTGAAGGCGATATGAAGGAATAAGGAGCAAATCCTTGGACCTAGAAACTACAAGACCAAACACCTCAGTCATATCCAACTCATTTGGCAACATGTTGTCTGGAAGTTCCCAATCAAAACAATGCACAATCTGTGCCAACACAAACTGTATCACAGTAAGCCCTAACTGCATTCCAGCGCAACGTCTTCTGCCAGAGCCAAACGGTATAAGCTGAAAGTGTTTTCCTTTAACATCAATATTGCTGCCCTCAAACCTTTCTGGTACAAACTTCTCTGCATCTTCCCAAGCACTTGGGTCTCTCCCAATTGCCCATGCATTTATGATAAGGCGCGAATTCTTCGGTATGTGGTACCCATCGACAGTGCAATCTTCGATGGATAAATGAGGGAGCAACAATGGTACCGCAGGATGTAGCCTCAAGGTTTCCTTCACTACCATGTCCAAGTACTCCAATTTCTCCAAGTCTGATTCCTCCACCATTCTATTGAGACCTACAACATTTTCTAGCTCCTTTTGGAGTTTCTTCATAACTTGTGGATGCCTAAGGAGTTCTGAGAACGCCCACAGGATTACTGTTGACGGTGTGTCCACTGAGGCCGCGAACATGTCCTGCCAATAAATTTTTCATTGTTAGATGAAGTATATATATAGTAGTGCGACACATGTACATAGATGACAATTTAATGTACATAATGAATTACAAATTTGAACCATCAACAGTTAATTTAATATATTCAAAAGAAAATCAACCTAATACTTCAGAATCACAATCTTAGACCACATCATGTTAAATCGTATAACAAGAAACAAGTTCTTTTTAATTTGATGTCAAGCAAGAATGACACGACAAATATGCAAAGATATGTATACTTACCAACATAAGGGCTTTGACATGCACGCGTTCGATTCGGTAGTCTGATTCTTCAGACCCCATGTGGCCCAGCATGACATCAACAAAGTCCTTTGTTCTTTCTTCATCCTTGGATTGAAGATGGTCGTCGATTATGTTCTCAAAAAAAGCATCAAACGCCTTGTTGATAGCCTTCATTTTTTTAGTGAGCCCTTGCAGGTCAAGTGGCGCAAGAAAAGGAATGTGATCATTCAAATTAGGTGCTGCTACTAATTGGATAGCCTCTTTCATCACCGCTGTGAATCCCCTTTCGTCAAACTCCACGTCCTTGTACTTCTTCCCAAACACCAGCCGACAGGTCAGGTCAACGCCGAGCGATGCGATCTTGCCACTGAGATTGATAGGAACCCGTCGATTATTGGCGTCCTTTTGAACAGATTGAATCAGAAGAGAAACCTCTTCTCTCCTCATGGCCTTGAAAGAGTTGATCTTGTGGTTGCTAAGTAATTCGAGCATGCACATCTTTCGCATATCGCGCCAATACGGGCCATACTCAGCAAAGCTCATGTTCGTTTGCCCAAAGATGACGTGCTTTGCACCTTCATGAGGTGGTCTACTTGCAAAAGTAAGGTCGTGTGTTTTGAGGAACAGCTCGGCCGCTCGTGGGGACGAGATAACAATGTTATGGTGGAGGCCTAACCGCATGTACATGATGTCGCCGTATTTCTGGGCTAGTTGATAAAGATTCCTGTTAGGGACCTTCCCTAACAAGTGGAGGCTGCCAAAGATAGGAAACCCTCTCGGACCAGGAGGTAGCTTCTTGTTCTTGTTCTTGCCTTTTGATATCCATGTCTGCAGGACGTGAACAAGTGCAAGCACCCCAATTGTTGCCCAAATCCAAAGTGCCATATTGCTCTTTGGGAATTTTCAGGGAGGTTTTAGCTGTTTCAGACTTCGACCAGCTCTCAATTTGTTTCTTTGAGTATTATGAATGCTAACTGATGCTTGATTTTATAACCGTGGAGGAGTGGAAAGGTCAAACCAGTTAGATATAAAATATCATTAACTGTATACGTGCAGTCTTGGACCTGTCCATTTTTGCAATTATTTTATTTTCTTGGACTTACCCATTTTTGCCAGTATCGTATTTAAAATCGTTGACTTATTAACCATTGTTTCAAAATTATTATGGTAAAAAGTCAATTGAATGTTACTACAATCTATTAGTATTTTTCTTCATTTATAAGTGAGAGATCTTAGCTTTGATTTTTGCCAAAAATGATTTTGAATTATATTATTGATAGCTTATTGTGGGGCTAAATCTACATCTGTAAATGATATCATTTGTTCAAAAAAAAAAAATCAATTAAACCAAATATCAATTTGTCATCCATATATAATTAATAAATGGACGATTTATAATGAAATGTTGGTTAATATCAAGATAGTCTATTTCTTAAATGCATGTGAATAACTAAGGATCTCGAATTTAATTAATTATTTTGTAAAAATGATCTTAAAAATAATAATTAAGAAAATATACAAGTGGATGCAAGTATTTCCCTTCCAAATTATGATTTCAAAGATTGAACGGCCCATTGGACAAGATTCAAGATTGAACGGCGGAAAAGATTGGAAATTCAACAGGAACGAGTTGCAGCTAAGAAAAACATGGGTAGCACTATTGTTTGTCCTATTTTGTGATCACATATTTTGATAGTTTCTTGAAATATATTTTTTTATAAGAAAATTTAGTTGAGTAAAGTCGTAGATGG